GTAGCTGAAAACTGGCCAGTAAAAATCTTGGCTGGGTGGAAATTCCAATAGCAAAAGACTGCAAAAAGCAACATCTGAATTTCAAGAACTGGTTTTGTGGCATACATAATTTCTTTAGCAACAGTATTTTCTATGAAATTTTTTTACATTGAGGAAATTGTGTGTGTTTATTTACTTTCACATCCAGGTATTCCTTAAAAAACACCACAAACAACACCCACTGAACAATGGGTAATAAGAAGATAGCTTGCATAAAATATTACTTATATTAGATAAGCACAAAACCAGGTTATGTTTCAATGCTCAGTATTACCCCAAAGAGATACAGAGAAGGATGGGGAATGATTTATTGTTAATTACTATCATAATAATGATGATTTTCTAAAATTATTGTGTATTAAAAGGGACTTATTAGCTGTGTCTCTTTAATGTGTGGGGTTCTCAGGAAATAAACCATTTTGGGCAGTCAGCACAATTTTATTGCTTTTCACAACAGTTACAACACTTAGAATTTCAGTGGAATGAGAGCCCAGAGAAGGAGTACTGGGGACTTTTCCTCTCCTGAAGAGGAAAGGGACTGCCCTGTGAAACCCAGCCACTGGACACCCAGTCACTGGTTTGAAAGGAATGTGTTGGTCTTGTTCCAGGTTTCTGATCCAGTGGTCAGTCTTGGATTACTGTGTTTGGGTCAATCCTTGAGGAGATGCAATTAGAGCACCAATTAATGGAGTGCTGGAGGGGATGTGTAGGGCTGTAGGAGGACCCTGCCTCTTCTACCAAGGCTTCCATGACTGCAGCGGTGCTAAATAAAGTCAGAGAGGCTGTTTCCTCCCTTAAGACAGGGAGAGGTATGAAGAAGACACCAATTTCAAACATGACAGTCCTGAGGAAGCTTGAAGAGCAGGGGTGCTGTGCCCACAGTGGCCTCCCAGCCCATGCCATGGAAATGGGGAAACTTGCTGGCAGCAGGAACAGTGCCAGGCTGCTGGGTGGAAGGGAGAGACCATGGCTACAAAGAGTGGGATTGAATGCTGTTAAACAGAGCATAATGTACACTGTTTATTTGAAATTAATGAGGCTTGCATGTCTTCAAAATGCATTTTAATATTTAAATTGCTGCAGAAGTAAATTATTTAAAAAAAGTGTCCGTGAATTATCACCCTTGATCACCCAAGCTGCAGTACTAGAAAATGAGAAACAAAGAGTGCCTAGGTCAATGAGGTAAAGGAAAGGCTGTCCCCTTTTTATGTTGAATTTTTTACACTGTCTGATCACCTCTTTTCATTTCTGTTCAGCTGTGGGAAAGATGTCTTAGGAAGAAAGTCTTAAAATGGGGCCCAAATCAGGACCTAGTATGTAATGGAGAGATTTTGGTGTTCTAGCCACCAATATCCACCACTGAGGGAACAGAGCAAATCCATCCATATAAGTGAATTCATTCTGGCTTTTGTCAGAGAAGAAACAGCTATTTCAAGACCTTCCTCTCACCTTCCTTACTTTCAGAGAAAGATCAGTCCAGCAACTGTTTCTACATCTCCTCCCAAACAGAGCAAGAGAAGGGGGTTTTATTAAGTGCTCCCAGCTTTCTAGAGGAAAAGAGCGTCTGAGCTCCCTCCCAGGTTTTCAGGGCTCCTGCTCTATGCATACACTGTGAAGAAAACCAGAACAAGTGAGGTGGTGAGAGAGCATTTTATTGCAGAGAGCTACTAGACCTTGGATCTCTCCCCTCCTTTGTTGAAAGAATCCTTGGACAAGGGACTAGTCTTCTTTCTTCTGCTTGCAAAAGCAGGGCTACTGATGGGCTCCTCATTAACACAAGGAATAAAGAGAAGCCCCAGAAAATAACAAAAGTATTTTGGTATTTTTCTACTTAGGCTTTGTCTTACACCCTCTCCACCAAGAATTTGTGAGAATTTCACAGAACAAGACCTGGAGAAATCAATAGAGGAAACAGCATCTGAACCACAATGCAGGCATTTAATGTCTCCTTGTGCATTAAATTACCAATTAATGTTTCCTGTTGCCTTAGCCTGTTCTAATAAGGCTTGACTGTTGCTTATCAGCCCCTAATCTTCTAAATGATGAGCAAGAACTGCAGCTGGATTTACAAGAGCCTTTGGGGCACAATACCAAACTCCCAGAGTGACAAAGATCCATCCTTGGAATTATGCTTATTAGGGTTTCTCATTCATTATCATTTACTTCACACAGATATCCACTAATAAGATCAGATTGGCTTTATTATTTATTAAGCACTATTAAAATAGATCCACTGGACAATCAATTTCTGTGTGTAAATAATTCCTCAATAAATAAGCTTTTTTGTTGCATAAAAATGTCGTTTCAGATACCAATCCTTCTTTGAGTTAACTGACTTTGCCTACTATGTGAACATATTTTTCTTGAAAGACTGATATTTAGTTTAGAATGTTTTGGGGTAAGAAAAATTATTCCTGAGTAACTGAAAGTAATTTTTTTCAGGAATTACTGAAAGTAATTCCTGAGTAACTGAAAGTAACTCAAGAATGTTTTGGGGTAAGAAAAATTATTCCTGAGTAACTGAAAGTAATTTTTATGGGCTGTGTCCATGAGTTAGCTAATTAGAATAAAGATGTTGAGAAAGAGTGGTTGGTAATGAGTAACTAACCAGGATAAATGATTTTTAATAGATTTTTAATAGTCAATGGCAGTATCTTCAGAATGATAAACACTTGCCTGTTGTATTATAAAAAATAAATAAATCTATTTTGCTAAGAGAGACTTCTTATGAACTGTGAGGCCAGTTGGGGGGAGGAATAGATTCATTTAGATGAAACGCTATTAAATTGCCTGCATAGTGTCCTGTCAGACAACTATTGATCTCATCCCATGGGAGAAATCGATTTCTGTGCAGAGAGCTATGTGCTCTCTGCAGTGTCTTGCTCCAGTGCTATTGCTCTGGTAATCACACGCTGCTGCCTCTTTTGCTTTCTCTCTCTTTCCGTCTGTTTGTTGTGCAAAGATTGATTGAGAGACATGAAGGATTCAAATTGCAATATTTGTTGTTTTTTGACCTTTCCAATTATATTCTGTTAAATATGTAAATAGTTCATTGGTAGTTCTGTACAGAGGAATTAGCTGAAGCAGTCTGCGAGGAAGGCTTCCAGGGGGATGCTTGTACCTTTGTTCTCCTGCAGACCTATTAGAGCTGACTCAGTGAAGGGATTTTAAATGCAGCTGAGAATTCTCCCTGCTTTGGCAAAGCTGTCTAAGCTAGTTCTCAACACAAGATCTAAAGATGGCAAAATAATTCAAACTTTTACACAAGAATTACATAAAAGCTGAAAAGTGAAATGATAAGTGATTAAGCATCCTTGCTTTGGTTTCCTTCTTCTAGGCATAAGTACCCTTTGTCAGCTCACATTATTGTGAGTCATTTTTTAACAAGACAAAAATACCTGAGGTCAACTAATGACAACATTAAAGTTGAAACCCACTTTTAAATCTCCCCCCTTTGAATAAGAAACAAGGTCTTTAATTGCCCTGAAATGGTCACACATTGTTTCTCAGATAATACAGCTTCGGTTTGTCTGATGAGTTATGCATGTACTTGACTTTTTCTATTATTTCTTGTCATTCTTACACTGGTTTCATCCTTATGACTCATTTATCATCATCATCAGTGCTAAGCAGTTATTTGATTGTCACCTTGTGGGGATCAAGGCCACTGTTTTCTCTGGGACCATAACTTGTCATTTGCACATGGAGAAAAACTTCATAAGGGAAAAACCCAGACTAGACCTCCTGGCTTTGAATCATGCCAGTGCTAAGGGCATGGAGGGATCTATGATCCAAAAGTTCTGTTGGTAGATCACATATGTATTTTAGTAGTTCCAGGCTGCTGCATTGGACGAGGAAAGAAAGTGTAGGATGGATCCTTCTGGAAGATTTTCAAAATCTGATGGGACAAAGTCCTAAACAAAGAAGTCTGACATTAAGGTTAACCCTTCCTCAACAAAAGTTTAGATTAGAGAACTGCCCTCATTCTCCTGGCACCAAGGTCTCTTTGAAATTAAATCTTTTTATAATTTTATTAATTCAGTTCCTGGTTACATTTAAACATTTGCCCAAGATAGCTCCTTGTTAGGACAGCAGCTCTAGCCCATGAAATGAAGCCTTTGTTTTTCAATTGCTTGTTAATGCTTTGGGAAGCACAGCAAGTGAAGACAAATTTCTTCTCCTCTTCATTAGTCTCTCCTCCATGTTAGCATTTCACCACTCAATATATAATTCAGCTTTTTTTCAGTGTTGGAGGAGGCAAATGCTGACTTCTCGTGTGCATTTTGGAAGGTGCCCAGGCAGCAGGGAGAAATCCCTATCTGACAGCTTAAGGTGCATGGGAGCAAACAAATTTCCCAGCTGTGGAGAAATGCATCTGAGATGAGAATGCTCAAGCAGGGTGACAGGAATCATTGGAGAAGACCATTGACTGCAGCTCCCCAAATCCAGCACCTCCTAACTTCTGGCCTGAAGGTGTGACATTCTCTCCCTCCATCTTGGAGTGGAGAAAGGGAAGAAGAAGCTGTGCTGTGTGGTTTTGTTTGAAATACAGAGGGAGAGGGGTGGTAGAGCAGGGAGGATGAGGAGCCAGAAAGACAAAAGGAAGATGAAAGTGTGGGGTAGTAGCATGTGGGAATTTGCATACGGAATGCACAATGTTACGTGTATTTGGTGACACATCATTGTATGAGCATATATGAAGGAAAGGAGTCAGGTGTGAGGAACAGCAAAAAGTCCCAGCAGTGAGACCAGCATCAGAAAATGGGCTCTCTTCCGTACCTGTTCACACCTATCATAAGTTTGCAGGGGAAGTTTCAGTCTGATTGGGACAGAGCTGACGCCTTGCTGCAAGCAAACTGGGACTAGAAATTATTGTGAAAGGGACCTTAAAAGCTCTAGAGGTATACAAATGAGCTGTATACTGGACCTGGTTTTGTTTGCTTATGTTATTTAAGTAGAATTTTATTAAGTAGAATTTAATTTGATAGCCTATTAGAAGTACCTCTAGAAGGAGCTGCCCCTTACTGAGTGTTTCTGTTTCTCTCTCACAAGAAGGTGACTTTTGCACTGTAATTACCTTTTGTAAAATAAACATAGCAAGCTACTTGCAATTGAAGAGCCTAGTGTTGCTAAACCCAGGATTTTCCTAAGGTAACCTTACAGTCCAAGTACCTTAACTTCTATTGGCTTGTATTTGTCTGTGCTTCAGAAAATATTTAATCATGGAAAGAACTGCCCCTCATCTGTCCCCATTAATTTAATGCAAGAATCCATCATTTTAACAGAAACTTTATTTGTGCACATGGAAGGCTTTGCCTTTCGTAACAGGGAGATCATAGAAGGGGAGAAATTGTCAAAGCTGATGATGAAGGATGAACTGCTTGCAGAGTTGGGCTGATGTTTGGACTGAAGTTTTTCTTCTATTCAGTGTCTTCCTCCTTTTCCACCCATGGCTAAGGAGAAATGCAGAGAAATTGTGAGGACAATAAAAAGCAAAGTTGCAGTACAGGAAAATATGCAGACCATAAAAGCATTAACCTTCCCAGGCTATAAACCTTCCCAGGTCAGAAATCAAAGGTCTCTGTTACTATTTGAAAGACACTTTTTGAAATTAAGAACTTCAATCCTGTCTCCAAGGCTCTTCCTAACCCCACAGGATCCTACTAACACAATTATCATCCTTACTGATGCACTCAGGTACAGACGAGGCTCTCTCATAATATCGTTTGTTCTATCTGGTCTGGTTTGCATTAAACTGGCAGAGTGATGAGGGAGATTTCTGTTGTTCTCTGCTTTGAGCTGGTAAGTGCAGGCAGATTCCTGTGGTTTTGGCCCAATGAATTTCCTTCAAAGGAAAGAAAGCTAAGCTGTTCTGAAAGGCCCCAAGAAGTAGACTAATGATTCCTGTCTGTCTGATAACTCCATTCTCATGGTTCACTGTTTTTTCCCCACTATATCTGCTTTGCAGGTTCAAGTGTGGAGCCCTTGGTTTAATCCTAAACGTGGAATTGAAAAAGAACTACTGAACTGCCACTGTGGTGCTGATGAAAGCATAATCTAAAAGTCCATTGGGCTTTTTTTTTTCTGCCACTGTGATTCAGATTTCTGACTGCTGTCCACTTATACCTTTGCAAATTCGTGGCATAGTTATTTCCACTAATTCCCCAGTTTCATCTACCCACAAAGTTTAAAGATACAAATACTAGAAATATTGTTTCAAATACAAAGCAGCCACTCCTGTTACTTGCATCCCTTCATCTATTAATTGTACAGGAAATGAACCAAAGTATTGCTGACTGCTCAGAAGTCATTTGTTAATTCATCTTTATCGAGAGGACTCTCACTTACCGATGGACTGGACGGTGGAAGTTGTGCCACCCCTGGGAACTCCACCTCCATGGGCTGTGGCCTCCTTGGACATTGTGTCGGAGGCTCTGGATCCACCAGAGATCCCACTGCTGGTGTACCCTGATGAGTGGGTTGTGCCTCTGGCACCTAGAACAGTTACAAAGGAAATGTTACTGACAAAAAAGGAAGGAACCTTACAGGACAATTACAAACTACTGTGTTTTAAAACAATTCAAGGCTAGCAAATGTATCAAAAGACAAGGTGTCTGCTGATCACTTGATGTGTTCTGTCAGTCTGCTGCTTTTTAGCTGCCACCTTGGGGAAAGGATATTATCAGTGCTGTTGAGGAGCCCCCGGAACACAAAGAAAATCTATGGCTTTTGCACAGACTGTTTTTGATAAACCTGGATCTCCAAAATATTTTCAGCACAACTTGCCTCTGCTGAAATTGCACTTTTCTGTGAAGCTGCCTGACGACTGTGGAACAAACTTCTGTAGAAACTAGGAATTGTTGCACTTTCTGTTCCAGGTGATGAACATGCTCCTTTCACTTCACTTTCCCTCACATAAACCTGTAATAGATACCTGTAAAATTCAAGTACCACAAGTTGTGGTAGCCAGTGGCCAATTAATATGTATATCTTTGTCTCAGTCTAAATAAGCCCCAAGCAAAACATTCCTTTGCAAATTCCTCTTCTCCTGGAGAGAAGCAAAGCATTCCTGATGACAAATGCTAGTGATAATGCTAAAGCATTCCTGGAGGATGCTCAAATATTTTGGTGATGAGCTTGTTATAACATCTTCTGTAAAGTGACACTGAACAATACTCATGCCCCACTGCAGAATCAGCCGCTCCTTCGAGCATGTTTGTTCTGGGGGGAGGAAGGGTTACAGTCTGAATGAAAAGGTTAAGAAGATGTGTTTGGAGAGATTTCAGTGAGCACCTGCGGAAATGAAATCAGGCCCTTTTAGCTCTCAATCAGGCAAAGAATGTGTGGCAAGCTCTCCTGCTGCAGGGAGCCAAAGCTCACACCTGTCTTGGCAATGTTACAGAGCTAGCATTTTCCACATGGATAAAGCTCTTTTGGAGTATCTCCTGTCGGCATGGCTAAGGTTTCCTTGAGTCATGCAGACTTCTCTTCACCAAAATGGTGGTTTTCATAAAAGTTCACAGTTAACGCAGAGGTTGCAAGAATAAAACTAGGCATAGTTAAATGCTTATTTTGCTTCTGTTTCTTATAAAAATTCTCAGCACACAGAGAGATAGAAATCTTCAGTGTTTTAGTTTAGAACTGGCAGCTTCATGCTCTCTACAGGGCATCTCCACTGAAGAGTTTGCCACTGGTTATGAGTGTGCTGGACCACCCTGGTCTGTAACAGAAGGCAGCTTGTGCAGCTGACTAACTTATCACTACAGTGAGCAACTGGCATCACCTGCATATCAGGATTTCTGCTGCTAAGGCAGTGTGGTGCCTGAGAGCAGCTCTCCTCTCTGCTTTTCACTATCTCTGTCCCCCTCCTCTCCTGACTTTCTCTCATATTCTGCCCTTGGCTGCAAGTATTCCTTAAGCTCTTTCCTACCCAATATTCGAGAAACACTGTATTCAGCAACCTAAATTCAAATCATACAATGTGAAAATTTAAAAATGCCACACAGGAGTCACATGCAGTATGTCTCTGAATGACCCTTATGTCACCTATTCACTCAATGCCTAGAGTGCCTCACTCTATGAATAATACTGGCAATCTTACAAAAAAAAAAATCAAATTATTTCCTTTCAATCAAGCTTAACATACTTTTGGCTATTAAAAGTTGCTCTGAATCTGAACCCTGGCCAGCTTACCTGGTCAACCACCCATTTTATGGCTGGAGAAATCATATTCAGCTCCATCTTTCGGATTTCTACCTGCTGTTTATGGAAGTAGTAGACCAGTGGTAGACCCATATGGCAGAGATGCCTACCTATAATCAGCCTGCTCGCTGGCATACCTCTGACACATGGACATGTGTGTCTGAGACTCTGAGGGCAGAAGGAGTTTTGAAGTCTCTATCCAAGGTCAGAGAGCTAATACTGAGCTGCTGGGTAAAGCAGGATTGCATGGGGCACTGTTCTGTGGAGGCATGCCTGTTCAGAGGATGCCTACTGAATCAGGTCACACAGGCAGGTCTGGCAAGGAGAATACCTTGTGCACAAATCCCATGGGATCTGGGGTTAAAAAAGTGCCAGGCTGGTAAGAATCGCCTGGTCAGGGACTGCTCCCAGCCAGCAGCAGAACAGCAAACACCTGCAGGGTTAGCTCTGCAGGGTTCATGTGAAGGGCAGCTATGCCTTATTTTAGCACTTTGATAGGGGATGTCAAGGATGTGTATACATTCCCTTCATGAATTCGTCTCTTGGACTGCAACTAATTTCTCTGCTCTACAGAGTTTGCATAAGGTTTTAGGAGTTCTCCCTGTATGGATGTGTGTGAGTAAAGAGCAAGGGAAATCTGGTAATTTATATGAAATATAGCTACACAGATCATGTTCTTGCATAAGTGCATCATTGCTTGTTGCTACCATGACTCTTCATATTTTTGATGATTCCTGGCAGAATGGAGAGATAGCACAAACTTCAAATAAACACTGTCCAAAACCTCATGGATAATATGTGTAGTTCTTTCATGCATAGTATGTGCACCCACAGAAAACACCCTCAATAATGTCCTGCTCATAGCACACAGTTAAATAGAGGAATCTTCTTTCTTCAGTGCCATACAGAAATGTAGGAAGGAAGAGATTATTTGGCAAGCTTATTTTCAAGGAGAAACCGCTGTTTGATCCTATGCACTGAACCACAAAACCACACACAAAGTCACACACAGAATTGCTCATACCCATTTCCTGGAGAGTAGAAGTGGGACCTCCAGAAGGCACACCTCCCCCAGAGGCTCTGGCTTCTTGGGACATCATTGATGAGGCAAGGGATCCTCCTGTGATCCCAGAGGGAGTGAAGCCAGCGTTGCGGACGTTCTGGTCAGACATGCTGCTTTCTGCTGGTGAGATTTCCAGGGAAGCACTGAGAGGCTGCTCAGCCCATCTTTTTATACACTCTCCAGCTGACAGTGAGGAAACGAAACTGCTGCCATGATAAGGAAGAATAGAAACTGAAACTTATTCTCAGCCAGGAAACGAGACTGGACTTTATCAATAGGTCTTTTTGTTGCTGTTGCCAGGATGGAATTTAGGCAAACCAAGTAATTTTCTCTTTTGATACTAAAACAAATTACTGGTGCAGGAGTCCTTGCTTGGCAACTGATGCAGCTGAAAGCTTAACTCTTTTGCATTGCACCCTATTGCACTGAATTACATCTGTAGAAGGTACTGCACTGTTTTAAGAATTCCTACAACTCTGAGTAAAGACAAGAGACAAAAAGGCAGTAAAGTGGTGGCATGCAGAGACTTCAGGAGGGTTGGTTACCACACCCAGAGTTCAGCTGTGGTACAGCTACCCCTGAAAACACTGGTTCACACAGAACTGGAAATCAGAACCCAGCTAACAATGGACGGTTGGAATTAATTTCGACATGGAAGGAAACATGAGGGGACCTTGTGTGATATGAGCAGATTGACACAGATGCTTTGTTCTTCTGCATGCTAGTCCCTCTAAAGCAGAGCCTCTGCCTTTAATGAACAGGCCTTTGCAAATGGCACACACACCTTTATCACAGCCTTTCTTAGCCAGGAGTTTAAATAAGGCTCATTAAAAGTCCGTGGACCTCCCTTAGGTAAAGAAGAATATCTGATTAAGTCACACTACCACAGGAATGGTTCTCAAAGAGGGAATATACAAAATAAAACTATAGTGTTTTCACAATAGTGTGATATCTATATCTTGTACATGGTGGGTTATAAGACAAGGCTATGAAGTCTGTTCCTCTCCTTTTACATGTGCTATTTATCCGAGCAGTGGGATATCTGGCTCATGTACCCCTAAGCCGCAGTGATCTTTTAACTCTACTCTTTCATTCAACTTTTCTTTAATTTCCTTAATTAATAAAAGTTTCCTTAATTATAATGTCAGTTATTTTTGTTTTCTACTCTGCTTGCATTAGGTCTTCTGTAATTATGATAAAATATTAAAATAATATAACAATATAAAATTATTATAAAATATCTAAAGTTAAAGCTTAAATGCAGGTAAAAAATACACATAAGAAGAGGACAGTGAATGCTACAGGCCTTCTTCAAAGTCAGAAAAAAACCAAAAATGTCAGTTTCTTTGTACATATTGCTGCAGATCCCTCCTTCAAAAATAGTAAAAACTTTCAGTGTTTTGTTAATATAATTTATTTAATATTGCAAACACCCTACTAGGAAATGATGGTAAAGTCTGGTAAAGCCAAGGAAAATGAAGGCTTTACAAGCGCAGAGACTCTATATGAGGTGTCAATTTACCCAGTCCTAAACTACAAATCATGATGGACACACAAAAAGTTGTTTAACTAAAAATAATTAAAACTAGATATAATGAAAATTTTATTGTAAAAAAAGTGTCTCAAGTCAATTCAGACTGGCAGAGACATCAGAAAATAAGCAAGGAAAGAAGAAATTACTAGAAGCCTCATGAAAATAAGATGAAGAAACTCAGTGTAATAAGGAAAGGAAAGCCAGTGGAGGGATTCAAGGGAAGCCTCGGTCTTGCCCCTACAAACTTGCCCGATGATTTGGACTCTTGGTTCAATCTGCCTTATCATCTCTGGCTCTGCTGTGCTCACCTCCCTTGGTGGGACAGCACGTTGCTGTGCCCTGGCAACGTGTGACATTGACATCACAGCCTCCAATTCAGAAAGACACAGTGTCACTGCTGAAGTAGGATTGGGAACAAGAACACAGTCTTTGAGCCTGCAGCTTCCAGAGGTTCTCTCTCTCCATTGATTCTTCCAGAAAGGTGTGCTTCTCCTTTGACTGAGCAGCTTTGTGTGAACTTTTTCCTAAATGGTTCCCTACCTTTATTTTAATTATTTTTTGTGCTTTGTTTTACTGGCATTTATAGTTAGAAAGGGTAAATAACAAGATATTAGGCAAGTGTAGTTAATGTTCAGCTGTGTTTTCAAGGAGACTGGCATGGAAGCAGTTGTAAGTCTTTGTGGACTATTTGTCAAAACCCAAGCAGTGATACTTTAAGAGCTAAATGGATGCAACTTCTAGGTAAAGTATGGAAAGAAAAAAAAAAAAACAAACCAATTCATTTTTATCACACAGCTTGGCATTATAACAGTAAATTTTACCTGGGAGAATATCTGGGTAAGTTAGTTTCCCCATTCCAGAAACTAAAAAATTGTCGAGGAGGTGGGCAGTGTGAGCTGACGTGAAAAGCATCCAGTGGCACTTCTAAGCCTGAGAGACCAGAGAGTCAAAGCCATGAATACCAAGAGTATGACTGCCCCTTATTTTCTGTGTCACTACAATTTCAGTAGCCATAGGTGCTGGAGAACTTGAATACAGAGCTAACAGTTTAACTCTGAGTTTCAAGTACAAATAAAAACCATAGGTGCCAAAAATCTAGACTATGTGCTCTTTGAAAGGAATTGGAAAGCCAGAGGCTGAATTGGAAGTACTCTGAAAATTTGAGTGGTGGGCATTCTTCTCTTCTTAAATTAAAAAGGGGGAAAAAAGAAAAAAAAAAGGAAAAATAGGCTAAGCTTAAAACATCAAACAAACCAATGCAATCAAATGTGCAGGCAACTCTTCCACATTTTGCTTGGAAGCACCTTAATATCCTGTGTTTGTGGATATAAACTGATGTGTCTCTTTGGTATGTTTTCCTTGCAGTCCCCACTAGGGTGACACTTGGAAATATTTACCTCACAGTGAAGCTGGGCAGCTGATAGGAGGCATTAATCTCTGCGTTTGGTAGTCACCTTTTTTATTTCAATAACATGTTCATTGAAGTCACTTTTTCATAAACATTTTCCCATAAACCTCTGTTTCAAAAGAGATTATTCAAACAGCTTTTAAACAATTAATCTTTTGAAGGGTCTAATTGAAGGAAATAAACCTGTAGAGAATCTGACTGAACCAAAGATCTTCAGCATCCAAGATTATCTATCTGTCACCCTCTGACCTATTTCCTTTACACTACTTTTTAATTTTTGTAGCAATTATAGTGTATATGGATAATACCTATTAGCATATTTATGGTCATTGCTTCATATTTATTGTCTGCACAACTCATTAATCTTCATCTAGTGTGTGAGGCTGACAGCTCAATCTATTTTGCAATCTCTGGGCAACAGCCATATCCAAAAAGCTTTTGTTTCCCTGTAAATAAACTGTGTTCAGGACCAGAGGACAATGGTACATCATGCAGTGATTGACACAAGCCATGGCTGCTAATCAAAAGTAGATTTTATTACCAGCTGAGTCAAGTGCATTATGGGGGCATTGTTCTAGTGCTGTCAGGGCAAGAGCATACGTAGTCAGTCACCTTCTCAAGATGGGCTGATTGTTCTCCAAGATTAGACAGAGTTGCCTTATTATCCATCCCAGACAACAAGGCATCTCACCCAAACAGACGCCTTTACAGAAACTGCCTGTACATTGAATTGATTTGAATTGCTAATGCATAATCTGTCCAGCACAGATGTGCAATGAATATTTGGATGTTGTTTTGCATGTCAGTTGAGAAGACTGAATGATGAGGTGATGATCGTTCAGTGATGGGTACTGGACATTTGCCAACAATTGAGTTTGAGCACTTTCCCTGACAGTAATCAGATCGGCTTCCAAAACGTCTTTTCTTCAATTCACTGACAATTTATGTTAGAAGATAATGCAACTCTCTCACAGTTAACACAGTTGGCAGCAATTTGCATTTTTTTCGTATAATTAAATTTTTCATTTCACCCAAGAAGAAATACATGCAAGCTGCCTATAACTGATACAGATATTCCAAGACACTTCCAAAGTATCTCCACCAGAATAAGAGGCCATCTAGATAGGCCAAAAATAGCAAAACTCTTCACAATACAGGTAGCACTAGTTTCATTAGTTATAAAGGCACGTTTGCTATGAAAAAATTGGCAATCTTGCTATCAATTCTTATTAGGTAAGGTCTCCCAAAAAAACAGTTACTGAAATCACATTTAACATATGACCATCGCCATGTTTAGGGTAGGTCAACAAACACAATTATCTGATTTAAAAATTCCCAGTGTCTGTGAGGATTGACACAGTGTAAAATAATAACAGAAAAGAACCCCAAAAGACTGATATTATTATATCAAGGGGCTGATACGAGCTCATGCATTGACATCACATGATTCATGTGAACGTGAAAGAGGTCTTCATGTAGTCGTAATCATTGAATCATACAGAAATTTAGGCTGGAAGGAAGCTCTGGAGATCATCCAGTCCAGCCAGGGAATTATCCTGTTACTTGCTGAAACACACTTGGTTGAGTCCTAAGTATCTTCATGGATGGTGATTCCACTTCTTCTCTGTGGAACTTGGTCCATTATTTGACCACCCATATAGTGATATTTTTTCCCCTGTGTATCTAGTCAGAATTCTGCAAATTATGTCTGTTGTTGTCCTTTATCTATGCACCTCCAAGGAGATGCTTCACCTTCTTCACATCCCTCATTATTAAAACCCTACCATTAGGCTATAAGTAGCTAAAAAGTTGTTGCTAACTTACAAAATCAGAGGATTGTAGGAACATTTCTCTGATATCCAAGGAATTTTACCTTCTAACTTTATTTAGGTATGTGTCTAGTCAATCTCTAATTGTATAACCAATCACATTTGCTCAGAAATAAATACTAATGCTTCTCAAGAACTTCTAGAGCTCTTTTTAGAATATATATTACTAATTGCATGGTCTTCATCTGTCTTTCAAATGTAGAGATGAGTACTCGTACTCATGAGCGTGTAACATAGGGAGGAATCACTTCCTTTAACTTATCAGTCTTCTACTAGCAAAATTTACTACAGCCAGGAAAAGACTGGGAAGTGATTGACCCAGAAGTTTTATAGCCCACATCAAAAAGAAGTTTACAGGTAAGTTATATAATATTTTCTTATGTCATCCTTTTTAAGGATTAGGTTGTATGTGTTTCATTTGGATTTTATTATTTGCACCTGCCAAGAGCAAGATACCATCATC